CAAACAAACAAAAAAGCTGCTATCTCTAGCTGTAGAAACAGGGGAAAAGCAGTTCAGAGAAGTGCTTAAGAAGCACAGAATCCTCTACAGAATCACAGTGAAACATCCCAGCAGGCTTCTTGGACAATGAGAATCTATCTTGATTTCAAACAGTTGCATTGATTCAAAAGGAGACGTCTTCTTCAAAGCAGGTGACCAGATCCACTGAAGTCATAAGCAGAAGAGGGAGAGAAATTCACCCTTTCAGAAGTTTTGTTGACTAGAAGAAATATGCCATTTTTATGTCTGTGCAAGAAAGCTGGAGGCAAGTTCTTCAGCAATCAGAATTCTTATTATTAGGATACCTGCTGAAAAATAGCATGAAAGCTATTTTTAAAGATGGCTCCAAGGAAATCTTGTTCATATTCCACATATCATCAAAACAATGTCTTCCCAGATCAACCATCAACAGTCAAAGATGCTACATTAAAATAAATAAACTGGGAAGTTATTCTGGGTAGAAAATTATACCAAAAAGTATACAAGCATCAGTAAGAGATAAACCATGTAGACAGAACTTCCAGGCCTAGAGAAGAAACACAGTATGAGAACTACATTAGTGGGCACCTACAAAGTATGACAACAACAACAAAACAAACAAACAAACAAAACCACCCAAACTGTGACATGTTGGTTATCACAGTACATACTGAGAGGGATAAAAAAAAACCACCAAACAGTACCATATTTCTTAAATGTGAAAACAAGGTAAAAGTACCAGTAACTTTTCTTTTTGGACTAGCTTGATAGAAATCCACAGAAGCACAACAACTCTTGAAATCATCCAGAACAGCATGCAAGACTTGTTTTGCTGTTAGTTCACTATACTGTAATGTGTTTAAATTTTGTACCTTTGCAAGGCTGTAAAACCAAATATTGTGTATGACTTCAAAAATCAGAACACAAATAGAAAAACTTGTTCAAAAGAAATAAAAGGAGCAGCTAAAAGTTAAATTTGTACAGGTAGCATAAAGACTATGTAAAAACATCATATTGCCTTCTGAGAACAAAAACATGCCAGGCATGAATAAATGGAGTCTAAAAAAAGATAAATAGGTATGTATCCTAAAACAAACAAAAACTCCAAACAAACAACCAAAACAAAACAAACAAAAAAAATCAGAAGTTTTATTCGAATGAGGAATGTCAGCCCCAGATCTGGCAGGTAATATAGAAAAACATAATAAGCGTATCTCAAAATTAGACATATGATCTGAAAACAAAGCAATCCTACCTTTTTTGGGAGCAGGAAGCCTCACACAAAAACCTGCAGCGCTAAAGATGACAAACAGGAAACTGAATATTTAGGAGTCTTTCTTTTACTTTCCATTGCAATTGCTTGGGTAAAGAATTCAAATTCATTAAATACACACCTAATCAAAGAGGTATAAAATTGGCAGAGTGAAGAGATTTTTCTGATATTCTTGTGTAACTCCAAAGGCTTAAATAAAATACAAGTCTCTGTATTGACAGTTCTTGCTAAATTCAAGCTTTCAAAGGCTGACTGAAGGAAAGTAAGACCTGATTTTCTCTCTAATTGTCTTGAAGTCTAGCAATGAGAAAACACAAAGCATCATTTGAACTACTTTTGTTTCATTTGGTGTGGTGACATATGTCAGCCAGCCCCACTTTACAATAATTTGTAAACAGTTTGCCTCACAACTACCCACCATTAACAGGCATTTGATAGATGTCCTTTAAAGTGCAAAGACTACAAGTCACAGATTCACAGAATGGTAGTGGTTGGAAGTGACCCCTACAGACTCTGGATAACAAATAACTGCTTTCATCATGAAACAGAAAATAATCCCCCCTCTAAAGAAAAATAGAGGAGGTTGAAAAATAGAGTATAGCCTGCAAATTTAGTCAAAAACAGTTCAGAGCTACCACACAGAGACCATTCTGAACTGTGAGCACAGACACGCAGTCATGAAACACCTATGGTCCTAGGCCCATGCATACTCCATGGTTAAAGCACTCCTGTTTCCCTAGTATTTATACTTGAGACACAGTAATTCCAGTCTGCATAGGTTTTAGACATCCTGAAATTACAAATTTCAGTTTCAATTCAATACAGTAGAGAATTATTATGTGCTAATTTCATATAACAACGTCTCTGTTCAGTCTCACTCCTCAATTTGATAATATTCTCTAATCCGTATCTGTTTCCGAAAACACAAACTAATGACAGACTGTACAGGACAGTTCTTTTAGGCTGTGACTGAGACATGAATATAAATAACACCTAACACACACACGTCAACTGATTCAGTTAAAAAAAAAAGTACTCATCACATGTTTTACCAGCTCCAAAGCATTACCACAAACAGTAACTGTCTTTGTTACTTCCCATCATTGTGCCTACAGCCTCACGAAATCTTTGTCAAAGCAATCAAGATCAATATATCAAACATTCAACTATTACCTACAAAACTGTTTTATATAAAGCCTCTTTGATGTAATACTAGAAAGGAAAAAAAGCCCGAGTCATGAATATATCTGAAGCAATCCTAAAAACTTTGCTTTGCTTTAATGCCTGCTAAGGTTGTTCTTAAGTAGTAAACAAATAATTAGTCATTAACATACAATCAGTTAATCACTTAGATATACTCATGAAGGTGAAATCTGTTTTCAATGCTTTATTTAAAAATATTAACTAATGCTAATATTATGGTAAGAACTCACTATAACATATCAATTAACATTGAAATAAAGAATATTAATATATTTATTATATTATTATAAACTAAAACATTAACATAACACAATTATATTGTAAATTAACTTATAGTTAGATACTTGAAGATAATTTTTTATACTAGTATAAGATAAATATATAATGCATAACATAATCAACATTGAAACAGGAAGATTGGCTTTTATTTCGCAAACCAACACACCTGAAAAATACTGTGATTCTTGTTGCAGCACATTCCTTACACAAGTTTATGAATACTAGCACTTGTACTTTTACTGCTAAATCAAGAGCAATGATTACGTAGCACAGGTGATACAGAATTATTCCTTGACATATCTCTGAAATAGCAGGGCTCAATAACTTTACTTTGAGCAAACTAGTTTATTACTGCATATACAATCTATCAACATGTAAATGAAGCCTGAATTCTCAGTCAGGAAGAAAATGCTCCGAAATAAGATTTGAAAAATGGACTGAAATTCACCGCCTTAGAGGAAGATTTGTCAATTGTGCCTTTTTTCCCCTCCAACTCCTTTCAGAGGACAAAAGTGTCAATACTATGGGGAATCCCATGGGATTTGTCACAGTACCCATGGTATCTGAAGTTACCATCTTCAGATTTGAAGCATAACTATCAGCTTATTTAGATTAATAAAAAAGACTATCCTATAGAGTTCCACCCAGCACAAACAGAATTTTTTATACACTACCACATGCTTGCTTTTGCCAATGTAATCATGTTTTGATTATTGTATTTTAATAAATGGGAAAAACATTGAAAGAATCCCTGCAGACAACAGTTTTAAATGAAGTTATCAATAGACATTCGAACTTCATATAAAATGGTATCTGTACAGTTCTGTTTGTAGGAGGTCATGAAGTCCACCCCTGACTCACCAATTGCCATACAAATATTAAATACATTCCAGTTAAAATCTTCATATCTAGACTGGCCTCATTTCTTAATCTCTTCTCCTTTCAAAGATAATAATTCAAACCACCTATTCAGCTTCTTCTTCCTTGAATTGTAATTCAAGTGGGTTTGATTTGCCTACAAAACAAGTCCACATGCCTGTTCTACTTACTACAGGATGATCATAATGCACTGAAATTGTCTAACAAAACACCTGTTATTCTAAAATTGAAAACCATCCACAAAACAGATTTTCATTTACTTGCACGATTTACCAAGTCGAGGTCTTTCCTATTTCCCAGCCATAGGTATGATTGTCTTTTAAAAAAAAAAAAAATTGCATTGCACCTGATTGTCTTCTGTGTGTCTCTTCCAATTAACCAAATCCTACATCGTAAGTCTTCCTACAGATGCAACAATTCTGCTTTCTCATAAAGTACACTAATATGCAAATAGTCCAATTAATTTCAAGAAACACAACCCTGTACAATGATACTATTCATTGAGTAAATGTGGGACGTGCCAAGATTAAATCAATAATTTCTTTAAAAATTTCTTTAAAAGAAATTTCACCTAAGTATCCATATACCTCCCTCTTCTGCAAGGATGGAAGAGGAAGACTGGATCTATTTGCTTTTCATTCTTGTGTCAGAAAACCATAATATTAAAGGAATGAGGAAAGCTAAAGAGAACAAGGACGAAAGTTAAATGAATTTCTCAAGGAGACTGTTAATAAAGATTGCCTTCACAGAGATGAACAGATGACCAATTACACAGCCTACTGACACATAAAGCAAAGACACTCATGTGAGTTCAGCCACATGAAAACCAGTAATTCCTACATCCCACAGTTCCAAATGTTACTTCTCAGAAATGCTACCTGCACAAACAGATTTTGTTAAAAAAACTCAATTAGCCTTGGGAATTACTCAAATTGTGAGAGATTACATTAAGACATAGGGGCTCCCAATTACCTCAAAAATTACTGAAAACAGATTTCTGTCAATAGAACTGGACATATATAAAAATAATAAATCTATAAACATAGAACATATCCAGTATTATAAATGAAAATACACCGATCAATTTGAATTACAAATGAAACCGGATGGTTTCACATGAAACCTTACGGATGCCTCCAGCTAACTCATAAAATGTAAAAATTCTGACTCACAGCTAAGTTTGCACAGTTAAAACCATGCACTGTAATTCCATGATTCAGATTGCTGTAAAATCAAAGTATGACATTAATTTTAATCTAGTAATCATTAAACAAAAAAAGAAAACCCCCAAGAAACATAATTCATATGATATGTAGAGATTTTACGGAGTTGGTCAGACAAATCTTACCCCAGAAGAATTTTAGCATGAACCTCTTTGTTAGTCCTTGAGATTTCTCTCATAGAGGTAATTTCTGCATCAAACCAAAATCCTCTTTCTTCTGGAGTCTCAACATTGTAGTTAACCATCACCACATCACCCACTTTTAGTTCACTCCACTTCAGAATGGTTCTTGCTCGGGGTCGAAGATTACTGGTTTCCATTTCTATTATGCCATTCTCTGGGTACCTTGAAAAGTAAAACCAACAACAAAAATGATTACAACTCTAACAGCAAGAAGTCTGACAACATTTTTCAAAATGTGCTTTGGGCATATAAGAAACATAGTATAAGAACCTGATCTAACATCCTTTTGAAAGTTTAGTTTTCATCTGAACACAGACCAAGAATTTGACTAATCTCAGATGGAAACAACAGCCTCCATGAGTTTTCTCTCTCTCCAAAAAAAAAAAAAAGGCAAATCTGTGAGCACTGGATGACTTTTTGATTGGAATACAATCAAGTTCAAGTTTTTGGCACACACATTGCCCCAGTCTGCTCCCAGTAAAATCAATATTCCAATTAAACTGATAATGAAAAAGTAGTGAAGATTAAAACTTGTTTTTTCAACTCAGCACATTTCTAATTTCTCTTTGCTTTCATGCATTTGTTACATTTCCAGTAACTTCAATAAGAACACATTTAGAGCATTTTTTTAAACATCTGACCCTACAAACACAGCTATCAGATTCATGTGGTGAATATAGTCCAAGCCCACATTCCATGTACCATATTTTTAAGTAAAGACTTAACTACAGAATGTAATGAGAAACAAAATTAAGACTCTCAATGAGATACATGAGCTCACAAACAGAAGATGTTTTTTTCCTTTAAATTACAAAAAAGAAATCTAGAAAGACAAATGTGTGAATCATTCGTTCTCTTAAAAGCACACTTCTCCTGGCAAGATATAGTAAGGAATGCAGTATTAAAAGAAATTAATGGTTCACTAAATCAAAATTAAGAAATTTCTCTTGATTTATTTTTCATTGAAACTTGGTGACTTTTAAACACATTATTTTACATCACATTACCCACAAATTCCAAGGGTTTATAAGAGATTACTTTCTTCCTCCTGTGTTGGTATATGACATTATAGCACATGTATTTAAAAAAAAAAAAATCAAAGAGTTATGAATAATATCGAAAGAGTTTCAATTCCTTTCTAAGTTGAGAGTAATTTAGCAGAATTAAGATAATTTTTGACAGCACTACAACTAGAATCCCAATGCAAGAAATGCAGTTTAACACTACAGTCATCTTAAATTTTCTGCGTAAGGCAACTATGCAATGATAGCAGAGTCTGTATAGTCTGCACATGTGTTGGAAAAACAGGAGAATATGCACATGATTAAAACATTACTTCCAAAAAAAAAGCTGGCCAGTTACAGAAAGTGAAAAGAAGATGCAAGACTAAAACAGTGAAGTTCCCTTCCGATACTGTGTGTAAGCAAATAATTATTTAACTAGCACAAGATGAAGTCACACTGCAACTTTAACAGTGAAAATTAACGTAAGCCTACTGGCTACAAACACGTATTCATTCTTTCTTAAGTAGCATTGCTGAGGTTAATACACCTGAAATTGTATTTCCATTGTGCAATTACAAATGCAATTACTGGCATTTTAGCAAGAGCACTCACACTTTAGAGTTAATATACTTTTATCAAACAGCGCAGTTAAATCCTAACAGCAAAATAGTAACACAAGGCTGGCTGTGTCACGTTCACTACTGGGAGGCATGCTTGAAAAAGATCATTTCAAGATCTTTGGGAACTAACACATAGTAACTTACTACATAAACACCAAAAATACTGCCATTAACAGCATGAGTCTCTGATAGACTATAGCCTGGAAACAGGATGTCTGCTCCTGAACAGTTGACTTAAAGCCCACTGACGTAATTGGAGACTTTTTAAACAAGTTCATTTTGCTTTTTTTATGCCTTCTATTAAAAACTAACATACCAATTTGTTGCTATAGATGAGGCATCAGGGGCTTGACCTGGCAATCTATCTCCTGGCATTTCTTTGTCCTCTACCATAAAGGTATCTAGAAAATGCCTTAAATTTGTGGAAAGATTTTGTTTTGTTTAAAGAACCATTAACTACGACAGTTTAAGTGTGGCTGTACCTTTAGATAAACCAATAGCCAAGTTAAAAAAAAAAAACAAAACACCACACAAACCACACACACAACCAACAAAAAACCAAACACAGTCACACAAACATATCTTGAACTGAAGTTAAATCCAAAGTGTTTTGTCCCCAACATTTCAGATCCAGTTATAAAAATCTGTATGATATAAATCCTGTCATGCAAGGACAGGTGCTTGCAATCAAGCCATTATTCAAATTACACTCTTCCATGATGCAACTCTCCACAGTTCCTAAATTTTACTTGGGTTTTGTTTACAATTTGATACTGTACTGCAAAGCTAACAGATATCTGAGTCTTTATGTCATGCAGTTTTCCCTTAAAGGAACTTTTGTGCAATTCTACTATAATAATTATGAACATTGTAGATGTAATATCCATTAAAAAAGTGACAGATTCAGCTACTGGAAATAAGACAAAGCAAAAAGCAACTACAGATAACACGTCTATTTTATTGAGTGCCTCAATAATGACATCATGTTCTAGTACAACCGGCTACTGAAATCTTGAGAGCTATGTTTAAGCTACTAGTCAGCTCCAATCATCTTATAATAAACCCTTCATCAAATTTGGAGAAGACAGCTAGTAGCACACCGTAAATGAAGACTCAGTTTACTTGAACTATAGGGCTTAACATCAGGAAAGTAAAGAAGATAAATTATGTCTATTTTTTCCTCTACGTATAAAGTGAAATACTCAAGTGAGAAGTACATGAGATCAATAGGATTATAAAAAACACCAATACACATTTAAAAAGTTCCAGTGCCTCTATTAAAAAAAAAAGTGTGCCTTACAACAGTTTACATTCATAGAAACATAAATTTGATCTCAAAAAGAAACTATTGATCTCTAAAAAGAGCATCCTTTCAGGTTTCTGTTGTTCCTGATAGACCTTTGGGCAAACTTTTTTTTTTTACTTAATTATTAATGAGTATTTTTTCCCAAAATTGAAGTTTGTTTAATGTTTCTCACCCCTATACAACTCAGAACATGATCTTTCCTACTAAACTATTGAGGAACTTCAAACATTCTCATTGTTAACAATGACTCCACCTCAGTTCTTGGAAGTATCTAATGAAAGAACCACAAAAAAGAAGATTGATTCTCAGCATGATTAGAAAGAAGATCACTTACCCCCAAAATCTCTTTTACAGACAGAAAGAAACTAACTGCTTTCCGAAGAAAAAAAAAGGAACTCTGCTGCGCTGGCAGCCCAGAAAGCCAACCGTATCCTGGGCTGTATCCAGAGAAGTGTGGCCAGCAGGGCGAGGGAGGGGATTCTGCCCCTGTACTCTGCTCTGGTGAGACCCCACCTGGAGTGCTGCGTCCAGCTGTGGAGCCCTCAATATCAGAAGGATATTGACCAGTTGCTCGGAGCGAGTCCAGAGGAGGCCACAAAGATGCTCCGAGGGCTGGAGCCCCTCTGCTATGGGGACAGGCTGAGCGAGTTGGGCTTGGTCAG